TCTCGCCCGCGATCTTCGCTTGTTCGAGCGCAGTTTTAAGGTCCAAGAGTACTGCAGATCTAATTTTCGACAGTCGTGGCTGTTGACTGACCAGGAACGGATGATCGTCACCTATCCGCGACGACAATCTTGTCAAGTATACATATTTTTGAATGTGATGCTCGAGCCTTTTCAGTGATACCAGGGGCGTGGCTGATGCGCCGTCCGGGATCGCTTCATCTTCGCTCTCCCCGCTTTCACTGTCCAGTAGATCGGAATCCGTATCGAGGTCCTTAGCAGCATCGCCTTGGCGCACAGGTGTGGTGTCTCCAATCATCAGTTTCCTTTCTAGTTCGTCAACCCGATCGGCGTAATCCAACAAAGCTCTCCCAACATTTGCATTCTTCCGTAGGCGCTTCTTCTCTTCCACCAGTTGCTCTACCTCTCGACACCGGGCGTCAACCTTATCGCGGATGGACTGGACATCCCGTTGAAATGTCAACAGTCCAACTCGGACTTGCTCTACCTTCTCTTCCCCTCCTTGCAGTGCAATCCCAAGCGACAGAAAATCCTGGTAATTCTCATTCACCAGGTCCAGTAACTCCCGACTAAGCAGTTGGTCCAAGTCGCGTAATTCCTGCCGTAGGTCTTCAAGGCTCTGGTGGCGGTTTGTCAGGGAGGACAGGTACTTTGCGGGGTCAAAGTCGGGGGCGAGAAAGGAGGAACGGGACAATGGCTCAGGAAAAGGGAGTCCGGAGGTATCGTCGTCGAGGTCGGAGGTAGACTCGTCCGAGTCGCCAAACTGTCGCATTACGGTGAATCAACAAGGAGTTTATGGTGGGGACCAACAACGATCAAACGGGGTTTTGCATACGCGAAACTTATTCATTGTAATCTTTACACGTGCAAGTGGAGCGATGGAAAGAAAGTTTGGGAGTATGTAAAGATCTACCGGGAGTTCGTAGAGATCAGTCGAAAAAGAAGCCTTGTTGTGGAGTAGTTGTAGAAGGTAGGTCGTTCTCGGGCTCTGGGGCAAGTACGTACTGTTAGGCAGTAGGTTGTAAGGTAAGTAGTTGGCCGGAATGGAATGACCTTTGGAACGCTTTCCCTTTATGGTCTGGTTCCACCGGTTCAACAATGGAAGGGGATCTATAGAGACTATTATATACATCTGATTTTAGGCATCTTGTAGCTAGAAGCATAGGAGAAAGCAGTAGATCGAAGCTCTAGCAACACTCATCTCATAATTGGAAAGTCGATCTTCAAAATCATTGTACAATACTGTAATAAACCTTAAAAGTCCTGGCTTTGAGCCCCCATTGACAGTAAATGCAGGAGATGTTCTCATTAGAAGAAAATCAAAATATAAAAAATAAACATAAACATAAAAATAGACTAAAAATTTTATATACAAAGTAGCTGTAGTAACTCAAGTAGGGGTTAGGATGTTGCACTATTTCAGTTCCGGATTTGGTTTCACCGGCTAAACTATCAAAACTTATTATTATTCGACCAGCGCATGAACTGCATCTTCCCGTCAAAACCAGTCAATCAGCGTACTATCCGAGAGCTCCCGTTTTGCAACAGGTGTGATCATGCTCCCTTAACGTATGCCACCATAACATTCCTTGCGTGTCTCAGTTGCAGCCGTGTCTCCAAGTAATGCATGGCGGCGTGTATACGTGGTTCAGAGACCTATCTACTACTGTCTGACAGGTATACACTGCTGCCGTTCAACGAATTTGCCGCGAACTGGTGTGAGAGTGGGGCTTATGACAAGGCACTGCTGGTGAAGGGTGTTTGCATTATTCCCTCTGTGGTCTTCTGCGTCACTTTAGTAGTGAGCTCTGTACATACAGACGAACACTGCATCGACGACAAGTGGTTGTGAATAACCTTGTCCGTACAATGGATTATAAGTCAGGCAGAAGACTGTTCACCCACCCTGATGAAATCCATTCTTCCTTGTCACGTCAGAGATGGCCTCGGTTTCCTCTTGCTCACTCCCACCCAGTCGTTGGGACTGCCGGTCCATCTCAACAAACAAACTCTTATCGTTACGAGTCAGCTCTAGACGACTCTGCTCGGGCGTATCGCACGACTGCTTTGCGTCACTTGAGTGAAGATTCCAGGCCCCTCTCGTGGGATCACCGACAAGTAACCCAAACTGGCGGTGGCCACTCGACCTCACCCTCGCAGCCCGTCCTAGTTCGGGCCTATTCCGGCGGCCCTGGGGATAGTGCGAAATCGTCAAAGATGTCTCTACGGCGGTCGTTCCCATTCGCAGGCCGCGCTGAAACCCCAAGGCGAGGGCCAGACCTTCCTTTGGACGAGGACTTCAGCATCGATGGCATCCTACGGGCTATTGAACCTAATATCCGCCATACCTTGGACTCAATTGGGGAGATCTGTGGACGGAGTAAGCTCAGTTTAGCCAACGAATATGGTAGCCATATAGCGCCCCTAGGCGAAATCCGGGCGCCCCCTGGCGGCCTAATGCCCGTGGACGAAGCTAGCTCGGAACATGAAAGACAGGCTAACGACAATGTGGTTATTTACGATGATGACCATAGCGTTATGGACGGGAGGAATCACCCCTCACCTATGCCATTTGGCTTGATGGATAATGCTCGGCAAAGTAGAGCGTCTCGTAACGCAGGATTTGAATCCATGCCACCGTTCTACGGTGTAGAAGTGTCGTCCGTCCAAGTACACCCTGACACTCCACGGTCGATGGGCTTTAGTACTATCTTGGATTCGGCTTCTGCGTTGGGGCCACTTCCTACAACGCGAGAGATTGCATCCAGGCCAAGATCATGCGGCCGGGTATTGCTGGCAACGAATGCTGAATTGAGCATAGACGATCGAAGACGACTTATTCAAACACCGGCCCTTGTGTCTGAGGTTCTTCTAGATGCCCAGGCCGATGGACGTCTTTTGGGAACGGAACCTCATGCTATTCAAAGCCAGCCCTTCTTTGGCAGCAACCTAGATTCCGATATAGCGCGAAGAAGCTGGGTTTTGTCGGCAGTAGGGCTATCTGTGTTGACGGATGTCTTCGGCTGGCTAAAATATGCTGTGCGCGACGGGTCAAATTCCAGTCAAACTCTGCCAACAGCGGAGATGAGATTGCGCGCAATGCTTGAGCGACAGCAGGACCTGGACTCTTCTGGGGTATATACAAATGATGATTAACGACTTATGTTCTCTATGATGTAAATGTATCTACTTTTATTGGTCACGGCTGCTGCTGCTGATGATGATGATGATGATGCACATTATGAAGGATAAGTACAGTCATTGATGATTTTTCACAATTACGACTAGGATAAGATGTGGGATAAGTATTATGTGAATCTCTCCAGCTTCTGCTGTCCTCATGCCTAGTGTTGTTCGGAGAAAATAGCGAGACAGTAAATCAGACACAGCAGAGTCTAAGAAGCAATATAAACTCCAGTCTCATATGCAAAGGTGGTATAATAAACATGAGAACAAGCCCTCTAAACAATGAACCCAGACCAGTAGGAACCATGAAGAAAAGACTAGTTCGCCACGCCAACCTCTATCTCAGATAGCAGTGTTTTCGCAAATCCCTCAAACCGGGTATATGACCAACAATCCTTATATCTTTCCACCAACGGCCTCTCATCCATCACCGCATCCTGCTTCTGCTCTTGTCTCTGCCCCGACTGTGTACCGTCTGCATCTTCATCGTCACTCTCGTCAACCACCTTCCCCTCCACTAACTCTCCAAACTGGATATCCACAGGCACAGCGCCCAAAAACTTCACGCCTGTCTCCTGAGCCATCACCTGCCCCCCACCGCTCGAAAACAAATTCGTCACCTCCCCACAACACGGACACGTATAACCCGACATATTCTCAATAACACCTAGCATAGGAATCTGCGTCTTCACACAGAAATTCACCTCCTTCCGAACATCAGACGTCGCAACCGCCTGGGGCGTGGTAACCAAAACCGCACCCGCCAGTCTCGGCATAGTCGGCGACGCAGCAGCCGGATTCGTGGTTGCTGATCTAAGTAACTGTTCCGCTAAAGCAATATGTTCATCACTCGTGCCAGGCGGCGTATCTACGAGGAGGTAGTCCGTCTGCCCCCAATAAACGTCAGACAGGAACTGTCGGATCATGGCTGTTTTCTTCGGCCCGCGCCAGATGACAGCGTCGCCGCGATCGCGGAGCAGGAACCCCAGTGACATGCAGCGGAGCGAACCTCGTTGTGCACCGTCGTTTGTAGACGCCGGATGCACTGTTACGGGGACCCAGCCCCCGGGCGCTTGGGTGATCTTTGCATCTTCGAGTCCCACGAGACGGGGGATCGAGGGGCCCGTTAGGTCGATATCGAGTATACCGACTGACTTGCCTTGTAGGGTGAGGGCCAGTGCGAGTTGGAGGGTGACGGAGGATTTGCCGACGCCTCCTTTGCCGGATAGAACCTGTGGTTGTGATTTATGTTAGTGTCTATGTTGCTTGTTATAGCCTGTTTAGTTTTTTAAGGTCAATATGCCCGCTATACAGCCAGACATCGCTTTTGTTCTGAATGAGTGTGAACCAGAGATGATCGTTATCGATAAGCGATGAGGGGCATCTTTTTTTCTTTACTGTTTTGGTTTCTAAATGAATTGAGTAAGACTCACCAGCACGATATTTTTGACACCGTCTAGAGGCATTTGGCCGGTAGCAATTGTTTTTCTCGGGCGTAGTGGTGATGGATATCAGATTCCATGCATGGTTGGTTGGAGTTGCTGATAAGATGGCAAAAGCCGATTTCGCCGCGGGATTTCTGCGTCATTCTGCGGAGTGGATTTAATTTTGCTTATCAATCATGCAATCACTGATTGACTTGGAATCGTTCCCATTGGGTGGTCTGTTTGCCATCTCTCCATTTAAAAATACCTATAAACGTCCACTGTATATAGTATCTGCTACTCAAGGGGGTTCTACAAGGGAGGATTCAAACAGATCAAGGTTCTGAAATCGTACAACTTCTAAGGTACTAGCGTCAGTCTCGGTCATTACTCAACATGGCATCTTTCATGTTTCATTAGTGCTCTCGGGAGACAAGTCAATGGTCTAAATTGCTTGCTATCATGAATCATCCAACAACTTCGATTCTGGTAGAAAACTGTAATGTTCTCGACCCTCGGCTTCAGACTTTTGAAAACAATCGAGCCCGCCCCACCCAACCTGTGTAGTCTATAATGGTGGACCATGTGCCAACTCTTCATTGCCATTTCTGTATCACGACACCTCCTCGCTTAAACTCGGCCAGATCTCCAAGGGCAGCCGTCTTGTCAGTAAGCTCTTTACTTGGGAATGTGGTCATCAGCACCCAGGGACGGCTCTGGCTATCCGAACTGGCAGCAGAGACAAACTGATAGACATCCCCGATGGTATGCGTGGTGTTGAATCGGGACGTCAGGCGTGTTCCGTCACCAAGACGAACCTGAAGGGTGATAATCGGCTGCGATTCATCCACACTAGGCTTGGCAGGCTCTGAGTTGATCTGGCCGGCAGCAGGGGCAGTCGGAGGAGTTGGCGTTCTCACACCCGGGGTCGGGCTTCCGAGACGTTGTCCAGGACCAGCGAAGGGCTTGTATTTTGGTTTTGGTTTCACGTATTTCTCCTCATGCTGTTTGATCTCCACATCGACCTCTTGACCCGGTTGCACATTCATGATGGAAAGGGGAGCGCGACCCTGGCGAATACCATCGAGAATTTCCGCGTTTCGGGGGTCATCAGAGTGGTAAAGATCACCGTCGTCCACAGAGAACCCATCAGCCCAGAAGTGTAGTGTCCGCTGAACGCGCTGTGGTAGTCGCGCGGCAGGTTCGTTAGGAACGTCGATGACCCGACTGGGAGTGTCATCGCCGCCGAGAGTACGAGCGGGACCTGTAAAGAAGGACCGTCGGGGTTCCGAGTCATCAGATGCTGGGACTTGAGACCTAAGAGATGTTTAGCCTTTCACGACCTACAAACGTCTGCTTTACAGAAGCGACCTGACTAACCGTCTTGCTTTTTCGATGATCTTCTTCTTGATATCATCAGGGTTCTGCACAGCTAGTCCAGACTTTTCACCACCAGCAAACAAATCCTGGTTCACTGCGTCATCTTCCTCCTCCGAGTCATCGCCGCCACCGGAGGAGAAATCACCCAGTGTCGCGAACTTCTTTTTCGGGGCGGATTTGCGTGATGTGGAGGATGGTTGCGGGGTAAAGGATGGTGACTGAGAGGAGCTGCCACCTAGGGACTGGCCTGCGGACGGCGCAGATTCGCTTTCTCCAAGAGTCTGGCCAGCGCCTGTGTTTCCCTCCTGTAAAGCTTCATCCTGTTCGGCAAAGAATTCAGTCACCGCGGCCTCAAGATCCCCTCCATTGGCTGCGAGGTACTCCTGTGCCTTTGAAACAAGACAAGTTAGCGACGGATAGATGCATGCGCGAAAGGGAAGAGAGTCTTACATGCTCAGGACGTACTCCGGTCATAGCACAAAACTGAGAGACGTCCTCATCTTGAATGGTGGGATTACGCTCCATGCTGACGGTATATTTAAAAACCCAGCAGCTTGTAGCGTTATCAGCTAGTTTCAGTAAAAGCGCGGGTGAATTTGTGATGAGACCAGAATATTTGAAGGAGGAACTAAATAAGGGGAATCCGAGTGAATGGAGTGCAAGATATGCGAGATGATGCTTAGTTCATCTCCGAGAAAGCTGAAGAACAACAATCGAGGGACCAATGAGGTACGTCACTGTTACCTGATTGGTCATCGGAAGAGGGGATCTTCCATGGCTGCCTCAGGAATCAGTGGGGGACACATGCCTTCCAGCTTGGGGAATGAAGTTCGTTTCTTTGTTGGAACATATAATGCATGGTATATCTAAGTATCCCTACCCAGTATACTTAAACAGAAATGGATGTCCGACTTAGTGCTCTGCACTTGCTACGATACACAGAACTACAGGTGGCATCTCAACCAGTACTCTCAGTACCCAATCATCGCCGTTTGTTCCATTGGGTCCCCATCGTAGTAACTAAACCGATTGGAGAGAGTACGTATTACTATAATTGCTCAACTTTTAGTACTAAAGTGACGCAACAAATCATGCCATGTTCCCTTGTGGATGAGGCGTCATGATACCCTGAGTGAAAATATGACATATCTTTGATCGCCAGCTATGACCTTTCAGTAAAGAGCAGTACCATAATCTGATTAGTTTTTTGGTGTTTCGTTGAAGCGGCATGCAGTGCCTGATTACATAACCGGTCAGGTGTATCCAAGCATCAACATATATGACGAGGAAGGTATTAGAAAAATGCAATTCTAGCCAGATCCAGCAAATCCTGGGACGCTCCTTATTTATGCCAGAAAGGGTTTAGAATCCGATCCCGTCTCTTTGAACTTATCCTTCCGAGCCAAATTACTGCCATCTGCCGTTGATCCTCCCCCCTACGACCAATCTCCGATCCGCACTCGTTGGTTGACGGCGCGTTCTTCCTTTACCCCCGCATCATGGCTTCGGGTGACCACACAAGCTCGAGCGTCGAGCTCTACGAATCCGGGTTGACCATTCGTTCAGACTCGGAGAACTATTCGGCCAACAATGAGTTATCCGAGTCGACGTCAAGCTCCCCTCTGATCCTCTACAAACCCCCTACAATCTGGAGCATCTTGCGAGGCGCTGCCATCAATCTGGTTCTTCCCTTCGTGAATGGACTCATGCTGGGCTTTGGTGAACTATTTGCACATGAAGCAGCCTTCCGCCTAGGATGGTCTGGCACAAAGGTACTATTACCTGATCGGTTTCTGTTGTACGCCCCTGGCTGCAAACGGGGTTTCCGCATACTTTCAAAGGACCATGCTAATATTGTAATCTTGCCACCAGATCTTCCCTACCTATCGGAGACCAGCCGGGCCTGGTTTGGAGGTTCGAGAAGTTCCATCACGGAGGAATAACAGCTTGCGAGACACGGCGTCTTTGGAATAAGATAGGTGCTGGAAGCTCACTATAAAACTCCGCGACCGCGCTCACACTGAAAAGCACAACAACAGAAACAGAATTGTTAGCAAGATTCCTTGGTTATCTTTTACTACAGCATGGGACGTATACGTGGGAATTATAAATGTACATAGATCCTAAGGCATGAGTAGTACTTGTACTGTCTGACTGGATGGCGTCTGGCGAAGCACCCCGAGTTTGGCATGAGAGCGATGACTTAGCTGCAGCTGTACAGTCCTCTGATTGAGCGACAGCTAGTCTACCATCATCATCATTATCATTACTATTTTGGCCGATATATTGTACTATCTATATAAATAAGCCGGTAAAAGCCTGGGGTTCTCCGGCCGCCCGGCAGAAAAAACGGGCTTGGCGCAAAAAGTCCGATCAATCGGACGTTGTCGCGCTTCTTCCCTTCTGGAACGCTATCCCCAGTGCATAGTTCGACTTTTGTCTCTCCGTGGGCTCTAACTGCAATGATGCTGGGAGGAGCTGGCCTGAAAGGGCGTGGCGCTATGCCTGCCATTGCCCGGCAGCGATTGACTACCTTCTCACGCTCCAGTCGATCGGTTCGTTAATCGGGATGCGTTCTCCCCCGTCGGCAAATACTAAACATTGACAGATGTCTTCATTCCGTTCCCATGCTTCGGGATTCCCTGTACGATATGGGAGATTGAACCAATCGCTTACAGGAAACTTGTCCTGGAGGCCTGCCTCCTCCATTCATCATGCGTCGGCCGCACGATTCAATTCCACCGCTTCCACTGCCTCTGCGTCGACAGCCACTGCTGCAACCGCTGTAGACACGGCCGCACCTGAACCAGCATCCGATCTTTCTGACTTTGACATCACTGCCATTCCTGAGAAGATTGGATACCTGAAAGACCTAGGACTCGACTACGGCTGGGGTCCTTCGTCCATGATTGAATACTTCATCGAGCATTTCCACATCTGGGCTGGTTTTCCATGGTGGGCTAGTATTGTTGGAACGGGACTTTTGGTCCGTTTGGCTCTGCTGAAACCAATGCTCAGCGCAGCGGATGTCTCCACCAAAATACACAATTTGAAAGACGTTGTTGCACCCCTCCGGGCCAAGATGGCCCAGGCTGCAAACGAGAAGAGGCATGCGGACATGATGCAAGCGAGAGCGGAGCTGCAGCAACTCCACAGTGCCCATGGTATTAAGTTCTATAAGACAATGATACCATTTATTCAGCTTCCGTTGGGTTTCGGTTGTTATAGAGTTGTCAAGGGAATGACTTCTTTGCCAGTGCCCGGATTGGCTGTGGAGTCCGTTGGCTGGATCAAGGATCTCACGGTTGCGGATCCGTATTTTCTGCTTCCAGCTGCTACAGCATTTGCCATGTATCTGTCTTTCAAGGTATGATCGGGTATGCCTCTCTATACTCCGAGAGGCAAAGCTAACTATTATCACAGAAAGGCGGAGAGAACGGTATGAACCAAATGGCGAACTCACCCGTCGGCAGAGCTGTTCTCTATGGAATGCCTGCCTTTTCTTTCGCATTTATGTCCTTCTTCCCTAGTGCCCTTCAGCTTTACTTCCTATCGACCGGTGTGTTTGCTTTGGGACAAGCATACATGCTTTCCTCTAACAGTTTCCGGCGATTTGCCAACATTGCAATTCCCAAAAAGCCAGCAGAAAACACCGGAATGACACCCGAGGAGCATGGCAGAGCGATCCGCATGATCCTCGACACCCAGAAGGCGGATAAAAGTATGCAAGTGCCTACAGTAGAGGAGGGCCAAAAGCTTAGCTTCGTCGACCGTACGCTCGATAGCGTCAAAAAGAATTACGATAATCTTACAACGGATGTAAAGGGAAAACTAGACTCGGCAATGGGCAATGAGCCCAAGAAGAATGCAGACGGGTCGCTGGCGGAACCCCCTCGGCTCAGCGAGAAGGACCGCAAATTAGCGGCAGACTATGAGCAGAGGAGGAAAGAGGAAGAAGACTGGAAACGGGAGGAGAGAAACCATGCGCGACGAGAGGCCCACCTCAGAGCTCTGGAGCTTGAAAGAGAGAAGGCTCGTTCCGCATTCAAAAACTCCAAGCAAAGGTGAGCACGAGGTTATGCCACATAGTCGGCCATCTACATATTGAGACTCTATTTCATTGTATAATATGGCGTGTACCATTCAGCTCTCTGTTTTATGTGTTACTTAGAATGAATTCAGATTAAATAGAACATCCACCCTTATGGGCTGTCTCTCAGTTGCGCAGACTACTTGTTAACAGGTCGAATGTTAGAACAAACGTTTGGTACTCTTTCTTTTTTTTTTTTTTTTTTTTTTTTTGCCCCCAGCGGCAACAACACCATCAACCAGTGCACTATACTACACCAAAGAAAGCTCGAAATGCAAACCTTCTCTATAAGAGTAGTGGCCCGTGGTTGCATGACAAGGAACCCAACTGGAAAACACCTGACCTTGGACGACTGCTGGGTTGAGAGCAAGTCAAAGGAGCTGAGTCTAAGACTCAAAGTGATCTACCGGGGACACCATTTCCATGCCCAGTTCTTTGACCCAGAGAGTCGTTTCAGGACTGGTGAGCTTTCTCTAGGTCATGTTAGTGTACGGATCTTCCTTCAGATTTAGATCCCTAGTCGTACCGCGACGAGATCTTTCAGATGTGGGTAAAATTCTTCAACCTTCAACTCAGCGCAAACCTGTCGCCGATCAGGATCCATGTCAAGCCTGCCTGCAGAATCCGCTTCACGTACCTTGACAAGACCATCCGTGAAATTGGCGTGTGGATAGAGTGCAAGTTCTGCTCCAGCAAAAGCGTCTTCGCGTTTAAGGAAATCCTCCATTTGTGCCACTCTCGCCGAGAATGACTGAGTCTCTAACAAAAAGCGCCTCATCAACGTGGCAGAGGATACGTCAAGGCTGATAGTAAGGCCGTAGTCACAGATCTAATGACGCGGTTAGGAAGGCCTCAGCACTTAGGGCTAACTCACATTGGTGAATTCCATGAACTGCGCATATGACCTGGGAAAGGCCTCGATCAGAAACACACTCTGGTGTGCGTTTAGATGCTTGGATATTTCTATCTTCAAAAGAAGGCTGAGTATATCGTCCGGAACAGTCCCGTTCTCGTCCATAGTGTGTTTCACTACAAGCCACTCGTCCTCGGGGCCGGCGACCTCTAGACGACTAATGATCTCCTCGGGATTCAGATGGACAAGGCCCAGGTCGGCAGCCAGCCTGGTTGCAATAGTACTCTTTCCAGAGCCCGGACCTCCTGTGCACTGATAAGATGAGGCCGCTTTTTTTTTTTTTCTTTTCTAGGGACACACTTTCAGCTTACCAATCAGGAAGACCACTGTCGCGACCTTCAAATTATCCTCTGGGCCCGATAAGGGATTTTTCCCCAGCGGGATCGTAGCCCTGTCTCGAGGACACGCCAATTTATCGTAAGCCCAGCTGCAGGCTTCCCAGAGCCCAGAACAAGGCAGGGTCGACCAGAGACGTCGGACGACACTCTTCTTACTGACTGAGTAATTTGACACATTGAGCAGCAGCTGAGAAAGCACGGCCATGAAAGACTGCAAGAGACAAAAAAGAAGAGTGTTTGCCATCATGTGAATGATGGATCCCACAGCGCACGTTGTCTAAGATTGTTAGGGTGAGGTCCTTGTTTGCTGTGATGAGTTTCACATCTCATTTACACATCGTCGCTGACTCGTTGCTTAGTCGCCTTGACAATGATGGTCATGATAGCACATCGCCGAGAACAGAATCCTTTCATCAACATTCCCTTGACAGCATCTCTTTCGGTCTCATTCTCATCGATGAGGACACTTAGGTACTACCTCTTAGTGAACAGCTGCTCTGATATCATTCTCTTTGGTGAGCATACAAACTCTGATCTGAATTTCTGAACAAAGAACTGAGTGATAGGGTATAGGAATAAGGACTTCAACAATTACCAGTGATCTGTAAGACAAGAAAGCCTGATAGACGGCTGAGCCTTCCCCTCATCCTACCCAACTTCTGTCTAATGCACGGGACAAACCTAATGCTTATCTAGGATGGCTTTGGAGGATGCATATAACGGTTACTTGGTGCAGTGGCTCGAATTGCTCGTCTCCACCATCATAATCATCCTTATCGTGGAGGTTGTCCGGAGGGGACTTATTCGTCTCGACGACCAACGTCCGCGCCGCCATAGACTATAGGATGCTAGGGAGCCCATGACGTTTAGAATTATCCACCTTGAATGATTGTGGCGCTACTCCAGATCGACATTGCGATGCGAATTGCCCTGATTGATATCGTCATGTTCAGTATGGTGGGTTTTCAGTATATCTTTTCTTGTCCAACTGTTTAAGGCCAACGGAGGCTGATCTGATTCGGCAGATAGGGCAGATAGTTTTCTATCTTTTGGAGGTGACATTGTCGTGTCTGATATGGCTTCATGAGTTTGACTCGGGACGCGATAATTTAATGGTGTTTGGGTGGTAGGGGATTGGAAAATACTGTACTAGTTATTGGTCATGGCTGGCTATCCTGAAGAATAGTATACTAGTATTAAACGTACATGAAAGATGGTCGGGACTTCGGCACAAGGCATACTTACGGAGTACTACTACTAGTACTTAGTACTTCCTAGCTTTCGGCGTTTTTCTCTCTCCAAAAATAAAACACATGGATAGATGCAAGGTGATTGGATCTCACACAGTCAAGCCTTGAGTGCAAACAAGACCATTGTAATTACCAATACCGACATGAATGAAGATCTTCCAATCTCTTACTGGAATAGCAATAGTTTTCCCTCTGATTGGCAAATGCTTCATGCACGTTGATTCAAGGCGTCAGCTCAGCAATCGCTTAGCGTCTCCTGCCATCCCTTTCAGATAATCAATCTATTAAATAGTATCTGACACTAGAAACTAGGATAAATTTGACAGACAACCCAACTCCTCCCTCCTTCCCCCCCCCCCCCCCCCCCCCCCCCCCCCCCCCCCCCCCCCCCCCCCCCCCCCCCCCCCCCCCCCCCCCCCCCCCTCGACCAGGGTTACTGACTCTGCATTTCATGGTTCCCCATATATCAACCGCCAAAAACAACCATCACAAAAGCCGCCATGAATCTGCCGCCACCGTTGTATCTCTTCTTCTTCTTCTTCTTCTTCTTCCTCTTAATCCAATCAGTCTCCAGCGTCCAAACATGCTACTGGCCCGACGGTACACCAGCAACAGAGGATGTCCCCTGCTCCGACGACAAATACGCTCCCTGCTGCCGCTCCGGGAATCTCTGTCTCTCGAATAACTTGTGTCTAAACGTCGCCATTCAACCGTACGTCCTGTCCCGGGGCGCCTGTACAGATCCGAACTGGAACTCGGATAATTGTCCGCAATTTTGTAGTATGTCTTATCATCCATATCATATTGTATATTGTGGGACGACTCAAAAAAGATCCAATGCAAACTAACCACAAAAAACCCCCCCCCCGCGCCCAAAATAGCAAATGTCTCCCGCAGCTCAGGTTCCTCTCTCTTCCCAGTGGGCCTAAACAGTAACAAACTAGCCGAATACTGCTGCAATGACCCCGTAAGCAACGGCTCCGAGGTGACCTGTAGTTCGGATTCGGGGAGTCCCTTCTTCGTGCCGGACGCTACCCTTGTTGCTGGGTATGCGGCGCTGGCGAACGTGTCATCGTTGAGTGCGTCGACGAGCGCGTCGAATAGCACGTCGTCGTCATCGCCATCGCCATCATCATCTTCATCGTCGTCGTCGTCCTCCTCCTCCTCCTCCTCGAGCTCGAGCTCGAGAGATGTCGCTATTGGGGCTGGTGTTGGTGTGCCCTTGGGTGTTATTGCTCTGGGAGCGATCGCTTGGGCACTTTGGGAGAGGAGGGCTAGGACGAAGAGTCTTGCTGTTGCTGCTGCTACTACTGCCGGTTGTGGTTGGGATGGGGGGAATGGGGCTGTTCCTTCGTCTGTGGCTGGGAGTAATTCGATGTATGGCATCCAACAGCAGGAGACGGAGCAGTGGAAGAATCCTTCTCGTCCTGCGGAATTGACGACGTCAGCTAGGACGCATGAGTTGGCATCCTGATGGATTGCAAGGGGTGTGCAGGCTTAATGTCCCGGTCATGGTCGTCTCACGCCCGAAGAGAAGCTCTTTCCCTCACTCGATGAATTAAACGTTATAATATGTCATTGAAGATCTAATATGTACTATTATATTTGAGCCTCTGGACGCGAGGAAATGCCGGGAGCACAGTGTATCCCCTGACGCAGAACTCAATTGAGGGGGCTGAGGAGGCTCAATATTGCCTTGTTGCGCCCATTGATAGCTTGGGAGTGCGGGTTAAGGAGACGCAATGTTATCTCCTGGTATACCAGGAGCGGGTCGGCGGCCTCCACTGTTTATATGTATGCTCCATCACAGATGATTCCCAGATCGATTTGACCAGCAGAACATTGCAAGGAGGCGCCGTGGGCGAGAGCATCTTTTCAAATTGAGAAGACAGTAGCTGCTTAAGCTCCAGACACTGAAAGTCGTAAAACGACCAAAAGTTTATTTCAGAATCCGAATGGCTGCGCCCTTCATCACGTCATAAAGAGATCTAGATCGAGAAAGCACTGCTCTTTTTAGCGGAAAATGCGTCGTCCACCAACACTGCCTGCTCCCCACGTCACCGATCCCCGAACTCCCAGATTGCCCATACTCAGTCCGGAGAACCCGACCCCGCCTCCCTCTCCATCCCGCTTCCAGCGTCGTAAAGCCTCTCGCAAATGCGACGGAAGTAGTTGTCCCCGGTGAGGATTAGGAGGCATCTTGAATATCCTCTCCCGTGTAGATTGTGCAGTGCCATTCACCGTCTGCTGCGAACCTGCTACACCGGATGGCACTGGTGTCCCGGAGGCACGTGTGGGAGGGAAAGACGAGGAAATCGAGGATTCATGTTTCACCTGAGACAGTCCGCCGGGCCCCGGCGTACCGGGACCTGGTGTGCCAGAAGCCGATGCATTCGCAGCTCGCGCCATTGTCGCGGCCTCCTCAGCTTCAAAAGCAGCTATCGCAGTCTGATCATGTGCCTCCGCCCATTCAGCCTGCACCGTCCGAGCCTTTTCAATGATCTCTCCTGCAAACACCTTCGTAAATCCATTGATCGTAGTAACCACACTCGCCGGCACGGATTGTGATAGCGCATGATTCACAATACGTCGCAGAGTCTCTTTCCTCAGTTTCGCTCGCTTGAACAGATCGTACCGCTCCGACTGTAAAGGATTAAACGCATCGACCAGCAATCTATATCAACCAGTTAACATCTTCACCTTGGGACAAAGAAGTCACCTCGAGAAGCAATAAAGAAAAAAAAAAACAAAAAAAA